GACGGACGGACGGACGGACGGACAGACAGTCACCGCTTAATCGATTTCTCTTTTCATTCTGATCATTTATGTATACATTTGTCTATATCTATCTCGATTCGTTATGCCTGTTACAAACAACCGTTATGTGAACAAAGTTATAATACCCTTGTGCACAAGTGCGCTCGGGTATAAAAACATGCTTTAGTTAATAACCATTATGAATATTAATCATTATTTAACAGGTCTTGTATAATTGAGTACGTACTCGATTTAATGGTTTACAATATACCCAAATAAAAGTTATATTATTTTGTGTACTTTATTGTATTAAACTGTCGACGTCAAATAAAACAGTGCATGAATAAATCGTTTTGTACTTAGTACAAGTCTGGTCATTTTCGAACTAGTTCGGTTTCTCTCAAGAAAAATCTAGTTGTAAACTAGTATTTTTCCTGACTAGTTTGGGATTTCACTGCAGGGTACATACATATGTCTCTAAAGCTCAAACAAATAATTTGTTTGGCCACAAGCCAATGTATAATGCAATGCGAGGAGGTTCTGAGCAACTAAAATCTAGTTCATCATTGATACGATTATTTTTAAGAAAAAGGCTGACTTCCAAAACGTCAATTGCTTTGCATACGTGAAAGACCGATAGAATACAAGATTGCTCTGATTGATGTGAAATTCGGGAGAGTAACGTGAATATGACGTCATAGCAGATTTTCCGGTGGCGAGAGCTGCGAGAGATCTCTCAGTATGCATATGTTTTGTATATGTATATCACGATGCAGCGAAACAAAGGTGGCGCCTTCCGCGGACCGTTAGTCCTCTCTTTCTCGATTTGACAGCATCCACCCTTTTGCTGACGTCACATTATTATTTTTTCGCACTAGTGATGAATATTAAATTTTCATATTGTACCAATTTGCCGAAAAGTTTTACCTAAAAGTAGATATACGTACCTAAACAGTAAACATGTATTTTTATGTGCATACATTTTTGGTAGTTGATGCACTACATCTTCCTTTTGTGCCATAACAATTTTTCTACTTACGTGAAACAATATTTTACTACGTTCCAAATGTACCTAAAATAATGTGCTTGTACCGAATGTATATTCAAATTTAAGAAGCTGAAGAGTAGGTACAATTCAACCTAGTTTTACATCACCACTTGTTCGCTTCTTCCTCTTCTTCTTCAAAATTATTCTTTACACTCTCTCTCTGTCAAAATTTTTAAGAGAGAGTTAGCGGTATCACTAATGTGACCAACCGTACTTCTTTCGGAAGTACAGTACTTCTTTTTGAGCCGTTGTACTTCGTACTTCGAAGTACAGTCAAATGCACTTCTTTGCAATATTTTGTTCTACCCAAGGCACATTGAACAGGTAGTATCAGTAGAGCAGCTGATTTGATTTTTTTTAATTTTTTGGTCTCTAAAATGTCGGCCGCTGTGGTGTAGCAGTGCGCGCTTTCACTCATCAGCACCTGGGTTCAAACCCTGGTCAAAGCAACATCGCAAAAAATATAGAAAAAGGTTTTTTCTTAACAGCAATCGTCCCTCGGCAGGCAATGGCAAACCTCCGAGTGTATTTCTGCCATGAAAAACGGCTTCTCATAAAAATACAATCGCCGTTCGGAGTCGGCGTAAAACTGTAGGTCCCTCCGCTTTGTGTGACAACATCAAGACGCACACCACAAATCGGAGGAGAAGCTCGGCCAAACACAAACATATGTGTAAGCGCCAATCTATTATTATTATAAAATGTCAAATATTTTTAATTTCTTCTCACAAAAAAATACAAATTGTCAAAATCTTTTTGCATGTGAAACCTTTTCCCATACAAAATAAGGGAAAAGCAACTTTTGGAACGTTTACCTAACTCCGCAGCAAAAACGCTGTTGCCCGGGCCTTGCATATGATGGATCAATGCTTCGAGAAGCAAACAAAATTTACTATGAAAGTCGCACCAACTTTTTTCCAAATTTAATTTTTAATTAGTACTCAAAATCAGAACAGTTGTTGACACTTTAAATAAGACAAGCAACAACAAAATACACATAAATGTTGTTTTTGCTCCAATACCTGTTTGATATGCCTTGGTACTAACTTTTAAGTTGAAATTTCTTTAACTGTTTCGAAAAATTTCAAAAGGTTAGTCGTCTCAGTTAAGAAACGTACTCATAGATCAACATATAAATTATGACTTTCAATCACTTCACTTCTCTAGCTGACAAATTTCATTATAAATGGCTACTCAATCAAGAAAAATTAAAAGGTGTGAGAGAGTTTAAAAGTTCTGTGGCGAATCTTACTTGCTCCTGTGGATACTCAGAATCGGCAGTATCGATGTCATAGTAAACATTTTATCCGGGCAACATATTAACCATTTCCTTATTAACTATCGTACAGTGCTTATTTTTTGGACACGAAAATGCTTACCTCTTCAAGTGGTTTTGATTATTTACACCAGGCTGAGATTGAACGACCCAGTCGACTAAATTTTCATCTCGCAAAATAGACTCTTATTGTACTTATCTTAATTTTTGAGTAGGGGGAGAGTTCTCTAACTCGCAAAAGAAGTTTGAAATAATCTCAC